GGTCTTTGATATATCGAAGATAAACTTCGCTACAAGTCTGATTAGTGTAGCTTTCACACCGTGAGACCAGTGTGGGACCAAAATGTAAAATGTCTCATATTATTATGAAAGGTACCCAACGAACGACGTTGTACAATTCCCCAGCCAGCGTCACCATATGTAAAATAGTTTTTCTTTGAAATTTGAAATAAACATATAAGGAGAGAATTTAGGGTTTTGTGATGTTTTTCCCCTCTTTTATGAAAGCAGTTTTGATATCGAAAATCTTTCAAACCTTTACGTCTAATGAAATCTTTGTCAATGGAAAAAGAGGATAGTTTCATAAAAAAAATCAAACACTTGGTAGCTAGTCCTTCGAGACTGAATAATCCTTACCACAGAGACACAGATGCAAGCATGCCAATGATTGTTCTAAACTAATAATGCTCGAGAACTAACAAGTAATAGCACCTACATTCGAAACAATTACTAAAATATGGGTGACCGCATCTCCTAACACGGGGTCGTTCGTCGAAGAGATCTATAACTGTAGGAAATTGTTCCCAACATGTGTTCAATGAAATATGCAAAGGAAAAAAACCAAAGCACTGCTTGTGCACTAACCAGAAGATGGACACTAAGATATCCCAAGGCAGAATACAGAAGTAAAAATATGGGTGACGATGGAGAATAAGGAGATGCCGCACTAGTTTTATGTCTTGAGGCGCTTATGAGCTTGATCGCCAGTCCTCTCCACTGCCAGCGCCCCTAAAATGCGCCATCTTCTGATTGCTTGAATGGGAATTCTCATTATCAGGGAAAGCAATAAAAAAAATTCGACTTTGTCTTTCCTGTCTGTGAGAACGAGTGAAAAGCTGTTTAATGTCTTCCAAAAAAAAAAAAAAAAAAAAAAAGAAAAAGGCATGGCATATCTGCAAAATTGTAATGCGCGATGAACAATGTAGTAAACTAGAAAAATTTATCAATTTGGGAGCAGTTTATGCACTTGATGTTTAGGTGCTTTAATTTTAAGGAAAACTAATGAGATAAGCTTGAAAATTTTGAATTTTAATGATAAAGATAAAATAAAGGGTAAATTGAATAGTACCAGGATTGACTTTTTAGTATAAAAATGTTCTTTTTCGTTAAAGTGAACAGTACTGTGGGCTTTTCGTTAAAACTCCCTTAATTTTAAGAAAAGAAATATCACTACACTTAAAGCTAGTTAACTAATAAATATAAATAATATAAAATTAAATCTAAATTAGCTAAATACATCACAAGTGGTCATTTACTACAGTGGTAGAAATGTGTTAAGTCCTTACATAATGACGTGGGTTCAAACTTGCTCGGTCGCTAACCTAAGATCTAATCTAACAAAATCTATTGTTTGACAAAAAAAAAAAAAAAAAAAAGCTAAATACATCAATCATGTGAAACTCATACATTATTTTGTTTTAATTTTATTTACTTTGTTACTGCAAGAAAATTGACTGTCAAATTATATATCACATGTGACATGTGTACGAGGCACCACTTTCTGTAGCCATGCAATCACAGTCTCAGTTTCGTCAAGCAAACTAAATCGACTATATTTCCCTTTCAGTCTTAAATAACAAAATTAGTGTTATTATCGTTAATAATTAATAGACATTTGGGCCCAATACATCTATCGGTGTCTTTAATAAACCTGGTATGTGCTGTGAATTAATTTCATGAGTAATTGGCTTGTAAACTTTTAAGGTTTGCTTTGTATTAATCATTAACTTACGTAAGTGGTACCAAAAATTTCCAAGATTCGGATTATAATTAAAGATTAAAACCTATCACCCATGTAGTTCACAAATTTTTAATCGGATCGATATCTTTGTGCTCTTATTTTGATATTCTTAATTACTTTGAATGGTGTAAAGTACAAAAGGTGCGTCAAAATTAATCAAAGTGTGTTGTCCAAAACATTCAGAAATGGGGAATGGTGCTCTCTCTCTCTCTCTCTCTCTCTCTCTCTCTCTCTCTCTCTCTCTCTCTCTCTCTATATATATATATATATAACTTTACCTTTTTATTTTTTCAGACATGTCACAACTTTGTGGTGACAGTCACACCGTCATATGGTGTTATTATTATGAGTTATAATATGAGTGCATGACTAACATCAAGCATGTTTCATGGACTTTGATAGGTGCATTATTTATCATATTTTCATAATAATTATCCCTATGTTTTGTGTGACAGCCCGTCCCGAAAATATCGAAAACGTACGTGTGAAAAGACAGTTTTGCCCCTAGCTCGATTTCGTTACGTTTATTGTTTGTTTTTGGGGTTTTGTTGGCATGTTTGGTGCCACACACACCTTCCCACACACCACAACCTTTCTCCCTGTTTCTCTGCACCTGTCCCGAGCCCCATTCCTTCTCTTTTTCTTCGAAAACGTACGGACACACACACAAGCACACTAAACCTCCACAGATCGAAGGAACTGAGCACATATTCGAGCTCGTGAGGCTCGTACGAGTCCAACCATACCATTTCCAGGTAAGAACTCCAACGTTTTCACGTCGATTCGACGATGTCCGATTTGGGTACTATTCATGCACACGTGATTTCTCACGTTTTAAGGAAAATGAAGCTTGTAGATAGCTTGGTGAGGTCCCAAGGAGGCTCGGAGTAGTTCGTTTGAAGGAATTGGACGTCGGGATCGTTGGTTTCGAAGTTGGCCGGAGTTGGTTCGATTTTTCAGGTGAGATTTCGTGGTTTTTAGCCCTTAAAAGTTGTATGGTTGTGTTCCTCTAGTTCTAGGCTTCATTTTGGTACCAAAATCGTGGAATTTGGTTGAAAAACGAAGGAGTTAGGACGTTTTAAAAAATTTTCCAGTTTTCCGGCGCCGGCGACGTCGCTGGAGGTTCGCCAGGGAAGAAGACGGAATATTCCGTCAAGTCTGACGGAATATTCCTGACGCCGTTGACGGAATCCGTTAGGGATAACGGAATATTCCCTACGGCGTCAGTTGACGTCGTCAGCATGCCAGGCACATGCCTGCGCGTGTGGCCGTGCCTTGGCCTGCGCGTGGGGGCGCGTGCGGCTGTGAAAATTTTTTCTAAAAATTTGTGGATGTTCGTGAGGTTGAGTAGATCACGTTGGTGTATTCATACACCCCATTTGAGCAATGTATGAGAAGTTATTTCGAAAGTTTGGTTATGTGCTTTAAAATTAACGTTTTTATAGTTATTTCACATATAGGTGAGACATATCCCGAGGACGAGCGTGGTCACTCGAGGCAGGGGGGCTACGACCCTTCCACTTATCAATGAGTGGGCTTTTGGTTTTCCGTATATACCTATATACGTATATTTTCCCAGAATTAATATAAATGTTTATTAGTTATATGCCATGCATTATATTATCGTCACTTATGCATTATTAGTTGCATTATTGGGCGTATATATTTTTATACATATGCATATTTGGTGCTGTGGACGCACAGGTAAGTGCCAGGTAAATGTTATTCATGTTTACTTTCAAATGGTGATTCGAGATGCTTAGAGAGCTCATAACCTGCACCCCCGGTGTTAGTGCTCCCGCCCAGAGTAGGGCACAGTCCTTCACGTGTTGTTCACCTCCCGCACCACACGCTCAGCTTGGATCCAAGTTAGGTGCACAATCCTGTCGTACAGACCACTTTAGGTGGTTCCGACTTGTAGGTGACCCGCGATTATTCGCACAGCCTTCACGTGATCGTAGCACTTGAGCGTTTATATGTATTACACCCAGGCCTGTCGTACAGACCACTTTAGGTGGTTCCGACTCGTGGGCAGGTTTAGTTATTGTGATTGAGATTTGAGCTCTAGATGCAGCCGCACAGGTCACGTTAGGTGACTCCGGCTGCCAGATTATATATTATTGATGTGATTTATACCTGAGCACTTGCATTTCATTCTGAGGTCCCGATATGGCATATATTTTAGCATCATTGGCATATTTATATTTACGTACATATGTTTATTTTCTGGGAAGTATACAGGTTTTACGACGAGGGGTTAGAGTATGTTTTTGAAATGGTTTTCGAAAAGCTTTGTTTTTGCCCACTCACGCTTTTGTTTTGCGCCCCTCCAGGTTCTAGCTACATAGCAGGTTCGGTGGTTTCCCAGAGGGCTTTCTCGGCATTTCTGACAGACGATCACCAGCGTAGGGCCACCTTCGGGTGTACTGTTGTAACGTCATTTTAGTTGGACTGCTTTAGGCTTTCTGCTCTGGACTTGTGTCACTTACGCTAGCACTTATTACTTCTACCTTATGTATGCTAGTTTTATTTATTCGTACTTTTACGTTACTACTTTTTAGCTTCCACATTGTGCACATGGTTACGTCACTTCCACGTGACGGCCAGCATGCCCTAATCTCGATCGGGGTGTGTCATTTTGTTAAGGAATTGATCTTAAAAGAGCTTTATTACTTTCCTTTTCTCAGTTTCAGCCATTATGTGCACTTATGACGTTTTTGTGATAATTCGACTTTCCGGAGGAGTTTTGATGCAATGCCAATTGGAGAAGGAAGCTATGAGGCTGAAAATCGTTATGTCCAAATTTCATAATTTTCCATGGAACCATTCATTCCAGTTTTACAAATCAATTCTGCAGAAGTTGTTTTCCCGTCAGAATTGCGCAGCTGTGGGAGAATAGAGATTTGAAGGCCTTCCCGATTTTTCCTAGTGGTGTGCGATGTATACTTGGAAAGATAAGAGATAAAGATACGTTTCCCATATTTTTACAGAATTTTCCAGAAGATAAATCGGCCCCAAAACTGGCATGCAAGACAGATAACGTATTTCCCAAGTCAAGAAGTATTCTTTCCTAGTTTGTGTCATTAATTGTTTAGGAGTTTGTTTTGTTTTAGGAGAGTTTCTCCCAAACCTTTTAGGGTTTTTCTAGTATAAATAAGTGCCCTAAGCTCTCTCTTAGATATCCATCCACCCCCGCATCCCCCTATATCACCCACACCATACTATACCATTCACCATCTCCGCAATAAGTGAAGAAGAGCTTAGGGATGTGCTTTGCCATGGACTCCAGGTTCTATCTTCTTTTATTTTTATTTCTATGTGTAACTAAGTTATTTTCTAAGGTTTATGATGAAGCCATGACATGAATATTTGCGAAGTACTTTGTTAATTATTATCCGATTATATGTCATATTATATTTTTAATCTTTGTGGGTATTTTATTTTAGGTTCGAATTTCTAATGACTGATCATCTTTAGGAATTTTGCATCTAGATGGTTAGATAAATCTATGAGGATGACCAATATCAAGCTCGTCCTACTTACTTGGTTGACATGATTCTTCTATGCTTAATGGGTTTTTATGTGTTTAATTGTATGCCTAACCAATATGATATAATTATCATGTAGAGATACAAGAGTTGATGCCTGACCACGGATTAATTCATACCTTAGAAAGAACAACCTTTAACATTGGCATGGTTATTGGATAGTAATTGGCTCTAGGAAAAGTAAATAGGATTGTTATTGGTGGATTCATAACCTTAGGTTTTCTTATGTCGTGTGTTTGTTTTAGTTAATTGTCTTTTCTTTTTCTTGTTAATTTTAGTCTTACTCAATTATTCAATTCAATATATCCTTTGTTTGTTTAATTAAGTCTAGCATGCTTAATCGGTTAAATTGGTGTTAAAGCAATACCTGTGGGATCGACCTCGTATTCGCATATATTACTACAATTGATTCGTGCGCTTGCGAGTTTAATTTGGTTTAAATTAATCTATTATTTAGGTTGGTTTAAATACACATCGGACTTAAGATGAAGTAATAAAAATAGATATATGTGTTATAAATTAAAGAATTGATAACACCACGTAGTGTCAGTGTGTCACACCACAAAACTTCCAAGATAAATTCTACAACGTGAAAATATGCTTGTCTAACAATTATGAGTATGAAACTGTAGTTGCCTTACTTTAATTTGGTTGCAAATGAATGGTTGATGTATGACTCTTTCTCTCTTTTCTTTCATGCCTAACCGTAATCAATAACACAACTCTCAATATTTATGAATTATGGGAGTGCATGAGCTCCCTTTAAAAGCAACAATGTATCTCCATTTTTAGACGCGGCTCCTCAGGCCAGCTTTGTTATACAAAAAGCTGGTCGATAAAAACCGCCTCAAAATTTCTATTTTTTAATATTTGCTGTCACTGGAAGAGCTAGTTCATATATATGGTTGAAGAAGTATTGTGAAGATGGAAAAAAACTAAAGATGGTTTCGAAGGGTCTGAATTTGGGGAGGCCAAGGTGAAGCAACATAAGATGGAACACAATTTGAAGTACTTTGGAGGAATCAAAGTGGACAAATTGATAGGAGGATCCAACTTCAAAGGCGAGAGGTTGACGAGCTTGATCATTGCGCAGTCACGGTTATGCAGACTCAAGTTGTTTGCTTTTACAGCCACAACCACGCTGCTTCTCATCTGCGTCTGCGCGGTGCAGCTGAGCACGCTCAGCGATGTAACCCGGGTTTTGATGTTTCGCTCGAATTCTCAAACCATCACTCAGCCACAAATTACTGGAACTGAAAGTGAGTGTCCACAACTTTCTCATAAGGTTAATAATATTTGTTATTTATGCCAGTGGTTAGTTTGATATACATTGTTGGCTTGTTTTTTTGATAACATAAGCTTTTCGGGCACGTAGTTGTCTAACACGGTATCTTACAATTGTCAAGATTTGGTTTGAAGACTTGTGTTCATTTTTGCAGGGAATTCTGAGAATAATGGATATCTGATGGTCTCATCCAATGGAGGATTGAATCAAATGCGGGCTGGTGTAAGTACTTTTCTGCTTATATTTTATTCTTAATTTGCATTGATATTCTTGAAAATTCAAGTACTGCTCTTCAATATCTTACGCTGCAGATTTGTGACATGGTGGCTATTGCAAGTTTTATGAATGTCACGCTTATAGTTCCTGAGTTGGACAATACCTCCTTTTGGAATGATCGCAGGTTAGTCAAATTACAACTCTCTCTCCCTATGTCTTTCACTTAAACTTGAGTAGGGTGCCTTGTCAAACCACTATTACAAAAGCATAAGATCCATGCCCTTTGGTTTTCTTCCAACTCAACTCTGATCCCACTCGGTATGAGAGATGCCTTAGTTAGAACAAATTTTAGAGTCTGCCTGTTAGACCACGTGATTGTGCTATTGCACGTAATTAAAGAGGGTCGTTTGTATTTTCTTTTCTCCCGTCCCTACCCATGATACCATCCGATTCTCTCAATAGCCGTATATGGTCGGTCGGACAAATGTTTTTCTCCCGAGTCACTAGTGAGGCAACCCCAGCCAAGTACCTTCATTAACAATAAATTAAATCTGACAGAGTTGAATACTTAATTTTGCAGTCGGTTTGAAGATATATTTGATGTGGATTACTTCATTGCATCTCTGAGAGATGAAGTCAGGATACTAAAAGCTCTGCCTGATAAGCAGAAAAGAAGAGTAGAGATAGCTACCCTCTATTCCATGGCTCCTGTTAGCTGGGCCAACATGAAATATTACTACGAACTGGTATTTAAGATTAATTCTTTAATCATTGCCATTGTGTTATACTATTAATGTTAATTACAACTAATCTTTTGTTAATACTTGATTCGTACGCAGATTCTTCCTCGCATAAAGAAGAATGAAGTGCTGCATTTCACTCAGGCCGATACCAGGCTTGCGAATAATGGGATCCCCAAGGAGGTTCAGAAACTGCGGTGCAAAGCGAATTACAGAGCTCTGAGATTCACTCCTCCTATTGAGGAACTGGGAAAGAAGATTGTTAGGATTCTGAGGGAAAAGGGTCCATTCCTAGTTCTTCATCTGAGATATGAAATGGACATGTTGGCATTTTCTGGTTGTACGGAAGGTTGCAATGCCAAAGAAATTGAAGAATTAACAAATATGAGGTTAGAGTGAGAAGAAAATCTTTGGTAAGGCAGTATGATCACGTCATTCTTATGACATCTCTCAAAAGTATAGACAGTGTGAGGTCCCGTGAAAACCCAATTGACCGGCTTGTTTGTAAGAACTTCATAACGTGGTCAGACCGCTCTAAAGATTTTAAGATTTTCTCAATCTTAATTTCAGTTCCTTTTTAGTTGTTTCTTTTCATAAATTCAAATATGATTAACTTGCGGATGTTAATATATTAAACAGGTTTGCTTACCCATGGTGGAAGCAGAAAATAATAGATTCTGTTAAGAAAAGAAGAGTTGGGGCGTGCCCCTTAACTCCTGAGGAAACTGCACTTGCACTGAGGGCTTTGGATATTGATCCTGGCACCCAAGTTTATATCGCTGCCGGCGATATATATGGCGGAGAAAGAAGAATGGTGCCTCTGAGACTAGCCTTTCCCCATACGGTTAGTTGCTTGAACCTCAAGAAACAACTCGATTACAAGTATTATACTCATGTTCAACGCTTATTATCGTCTGCAAACAGGTTAAAAAGGAGACGTTGCTGGAATCCTCCGACCTCGAGCCCTTCAGGAACCATTCAAACCGAATGGCAGCATTGGATTATATGGTGTCATTGGAAAGCGACATCTTCGTTCCTACTTATAAAGGAAACATGGCAAGAATTGTTGAAGGCCATAGAAGGTATGTAACATACGTTACCAATATATTACTATGTTAATTTCTTTCTCAATGACATTTGATACATAATTATACAAACATATGTGTGTGCGTGCACAAGAGCGCAGGTACTTGGGATTCAGGACGACAATTCGGCTACACAGAAAGCTTCTGGTGGAATTGATACGCCAGTACAAGAATGGAAGTCTGAGCTGGAATGAATTTTCACAGGCAGTGAAAACAAGGCACGCTAATCGCATGGGAAGCCCAGCTCCAAGATTGGAGATTCCTGGCAAGCCTAAGGAAGAAGAATATTTCTATAGCAATCCCCAGGAATGTTTGCCACAAATTGTTTAAAAACCAAAAGGTCTCTGATATAGCAGAGATAAACTTCGGTGAACATGTCTGATTAGTGTAGCTTTCACACCGTCAAATCTGTGTCAAACCAAAATATAAGGAGTATCATTATTATCAGAGGTGCCCAAAAGTTGCTCAAAAAACGACGTAGAAACCCCTACCCAAAAATTGGGTAGTGTGGTTGGTATGTACCTTAGATTCCACTTCGCTAGGCAGCATCACTAAAATAAGTATTCTTTTATTTATATTTTCTTTGAAATTTGCAGTAAACATTACAAGCAGAAGATTAGGGTTTTGTGATGTTCCACCATTCAGTCCATCGAGACTAAATGATCCTTGCCACTGATGCAAACTGTTTGCCCTAAACAAATAAGGATAATGCTAGAAGACCAAAATTTGAAACTTAATTTGTAAATCAAATAACCTGTCACCAATAAAAAATAAGCACGTTAATCGACAATTAATAATTCAATTATCTACAACCACATCATTCGGTTTGTAAATTAGGTTTTAAAATTTCGATCTCTCTAGCATTACCCAACAAATAATCCTCGAGACACGAACTAACAACTTTATTACCACGAAATGGCACCTCAATGGCTCCAATTGATACATTCGAAACAATTATGTACGATAAAACTAACATATGGGTGACGGCATTTCCTAACACGGGTTCCTTCCTCAAAGAAATCTATAACTGAGGGAAATTGTTCTCAACATGGGTTCAATGAAATATGTAAAGGAAAAAACCAAAGCACTGCATGTACACTAACCAGAAGATGGACACTAAGACATCCCAAAGCAGAATAAAGGAGTAAAAATATGGGTGACGGCGGAGAAGAAGGAGACTCCACACTAGTTTTATGTCTTGAGGCGCTTATGAGCTTGATCGGAGTCCTCTCCACTGCCAGCGTCCCTAAAATGCGCCATCGTCTGATTGCTTGAATGGGGATTCTCATTATCCTGGAAAGCAATACAAATTTTGAGACTTTATCTTTCCTGTCTGTGAGAACGAATGAAAAACCTTAGCAGAGTCCCGTGTAGCGTAACCATACAGGTTGACAAATCCATAGGAATGGATGGAAAGAGTATTGTAATTTGAAATAAACAGACCCGCATGGTTTAGAAAGATGGTTAACGGAGAGAGTGGTTGGGCAGTGGAAAGAAAAGCAAATAAATGGAACCACTTATACTATTCCAGGTCATCAATACCCAACTTATACCTTAGAAGCAGGTGTTCCAGAGGACAGCCCTCGGTTTGCACGATTCCCAAGATCAATCTGCACTGAGATACTAGCATGCGACAGATCAACACCTGCACTCTGCAGCACTTGGCTCAGAGAGTTTAATAACCTGTTCATAATTTGGACAGTTAGAACTCAGAAGCAGAGAAACTGATCAAGAAAATGCATGACGTACACTGTATCACTGTGATAATATACAAACAACTTGAGCAAATGTGATCAATAATAAGGTCCGGAGTCACAATAGTTAATCGACAGGATCGAAGCAAAACGTAGTACAACAAATATTTCCAAAAGTTAAATGAGACTCATAGTATGTTCTAATTTCGATGTTTCTCAAACTGGTGGTTCTATAACTATAGTTTGAGCACTCACCCTTGTGAATAAACACTTGAGATGCTTATTGTTCCTCCTTCAACTGTCAGCTGCTCGTGTTGGCTCAGTGCATCACTAGCACTAGTGGTGGGACACTGAGTTGATTGAGCATCAGAAATTTGTCCCTGGAGAGGATGGGCAAGCACACCACCACTTCTGACCGGGGGAGTAATGTTTGGTAGTGACATAGGCAGAGGAATCCCCTTGTTCACTATCTCAGGTTGTTGATCCACTATTTTGGAGGCAACATCCCTGCTAGGGTCAGTTTCTACTGGATTCGAAGTGCTGTTTCCCAGCATGTTCGGATTGATAGAGATGTTATTTTCATCAAATTTCCCAGGAAATGGTGACACCGGTGCAGTGTCACTCTTTATGGCCTGAGGATTACCAACAAAACTCTGAACACGCCAGTGACTGTTTCTCTGTTTCATGAAGGAGGTACATGTTAGATCCAAAAGTATCTTTGACAAGAAAGTAAGTGACATATTCAGACGCTATGGTCGTTGTCTTTTGTCCACCAGAAAACATGAATTAGAAGCAGTTTAATATGATTCCACCTTAACAACAATTGAGTCCATCCCATAATTACCCAATTAATCAACTTTTTATGCAAAGAACCAATGACAACAACTCCAAAAGGAAAAAGGTTGCCAAAAATGCTTAGCCAAAGTAGGGCCATAAATAATTACATACTCTTGAAAGGAATTATAGTGTGCTTTATGCAGGACGGGAACTCGGGAAGCAGTCAGATGCTCTGCAGTATAATTACATAGATCAACCCGATTTCTATAGTATGCACATATGCAGCTATTAACACCTGCCTTTGTGCTTTCAGGTGAACATAGTACCTTACACCCAGACTATATAAGACCAAGATTCAGAACAATACCCATGGCATCAACTTTGTGGGCTCAGGACTCCAACCCTGGTATGAACCTTCATATTTGTGGACTTTTTCCTGTAAGTACTGGACATACTCGATCACCTGCAAAAAAAATGATAAATAACCAAGTAAGCTTACAGTGTGGTTTCAAAATTAGTTTGACAACTTGCACAGTTATCCGTACACAAAGAACGTACCTCGAGCAGGAATGATGCCGTATCTCTTTTCTGATCACTATGGGGTATTAGATCTCTCAATATCTGGAACCTGAAAGAAAAATTTAAGCTCCCTTAAGCTCTATTGACAAGTAAATTGACAACTCACTAAACCAATTACACAACAAGAAACACCTAATTCCATGGGCTACCAATCGTAACACCAGAACTTCAACGTCTATGATGTAATGACCATGTGACCGATCCACAGTTTAAACTACATGAACAGATTCCACTTGGTTAAATAAAAACCATGGAAGCTTCAAACTTTATCTACGCTATAGAAGTTGAACTAATCAAGTAATGGACTTGTTTTCAAAGAAGAAATTATATTCGAAAGGCGACAAGTAATTGGCTAAACAAGCACCATCATCAACTAATCAGCTGCTAAGTACCGTACAAACATCAAAAGCACTGTCAAACTAATTACACCAATCCAATAGTATCGAGTAGTAAATAGTGCGCAATGTCCTCCGAATAAACTACCCCGCCCCTTCTGTTTCGAACCCCAATTTGCCAAAGTAAATTTCGAAATGCGAAAATTTGCTGAAGAACAGATGCACATAAAGCTTACCTCTCATTGATCTTGCTCCTCCTCCTCTGCTCTGTGACTGAATGTTTCGATCGAATAGCACTAGCCTTATCGTTGTTCTTAGCATCTAGTTTCCATATCCAAAATCCAGAATTCCAAATTAGAAAACAGAAATGCATGCTTCCCTCTAAACACCCATAAAATCAAAAGGAAAAACATAGCTAAAAACAGTAAAGGTGAAATATTTCGTACTCAAATTCCAATCAAACAAAGAACATTACAATTGCCAATGTAGTAAATCCTCAAATTATAACGTTGGATCTACAAATTCGAGATAACCATGATCGAAAACAAGGTGGTTATAAATATGTCACCTTTGCTGTTGGAATTGGAAGGACCTTCTTTCCTGGAGCCAAACTCCTCCTCGTCGTACTCATCCTCCTCCTGGTTGCCTTTCGCGGCGGTTCTCATCCTCCTCTATGTGAATTCTTATGGGTCTGGATTTAAATTCCAACACTTTATGGACAAATCTGAAAAATACCCGGATAAGAAAATCTCAGATACGTTATGCTCGGCGCCGGAATTGGAGATTTGAGGTGGCTGATTGCGAAATTGAAGACGGCGGAGAATTGGGTTGGGGTGTTTTTTTCGGGTTTTCTGCCGGCAGAGGAACCCCGGTTCAGTTGAGGCAGCTACTGACGCTGGCTTGTAACCACCGTGACTCCGGTTACTCGAGAACTTGATGGAGCAAACATTAGCTTGTGGGTAACCTCACGTGCTTCCGGTGAGGTCACTTAAGTGGGCTTGCTAAAAAGAGAATTTTAACGTAACTGTTCATTTTAACGAAAAATCATATTTTTACATTAAAAAGTTAATATTAGTACTATTCATTGTACTCCTTATTTTGTCATTTTCGTTAAAACTTTCAAGCTATTTTCATTAATTTTTCTTTTTATTTATTTATTTATTATTTTCTCTTTTCTTTTTCCTACTTGGCAAAGCTACGAGGGTTGATGGATTAACGATCACGATGTAATGGACGACCAAAGCTAAGATTATAATCTTTCTCAAACCCATCGTGCAGTACTGGAAAGGTGTTAAGCTTTTACATGACGGCGTGACTTCAAAATTTGTTGGTGACTAATTTATCATATAATCTAACAAAATCTATCGTTTGACAAAAAAAAATTTCAAATTTTGCTTGGGAAAATAATTTCTTTGAAAATGAGGTGATTTTCACAAACTTTTTAAACTTCTCACACTCTTTTTATTGTGATTGTTGAATTGAATAAACCAATGAAAGTAACAGAAAACATTAAACACCGAGGTGCGAGAAGTAGTGGTTGATTCAGGATTTGAATCTTGGAGATCCTAATGTTAAAGGTCCAAGTTTTTAAAATAGAAACAACGCGAAGCGTGCAAAAAATAAATTTCAGTTCATTCACTGAGGTATTTCGTTGAACACTTGGTGGGCTTATTGTCGTCAACAACCATGTTGCGCAATGTCAACATATATCAACATATGCTAAAGTAATGTGATTAGTGATATCAAGAAAATTTATCGAGTATTATTGATGCAATCTGTCGAGATATGTCTAACAGGTATTACATCAAACACTTGATATGTACAAAAGAAACTCGTACGAAATATTCTAAGGGCTTAAAACATTCACATGTATATTTTTCGAACTCCAAATGATCATAAGACTATCTTGATCTTAATATGCATCCGCCTCTGACGAAAAGCTGAAAAAGTGTGCACATTTTCGTTCTTTAAATGTGCTCAACTTAGGCTGACAGAGCTTGTGTTTGCCTACATATTGCTACACGACCTGAACAAAGCCCCGATCACACACAAGTTAGTAAGCCAAAACCGAGCCCACTGACTTAGGCATAATCATCACTAATCAGCCCATAATTTACTAGGTGGGCTTTAGACTTTGGTATATGTGTTAGCTACTAACACTTTGTCTATGGCCCACTTCTTTCTAATCATCCTTTAACAATTTGTTTAGAAGTACTTTTAAAATGATTAAAAACATTTTTGGTAAAAATATTTTTGAAACTAATCCTTTGTAATCAAATGGACAATGGAAAAGCACTTTAAATGCTTTTAGTAAGAAGCATATATCTAGTGCTTATTCCAAAAAACATTTAAAATGTTTTTGAAACCCAAAATCAATTTCTCTAAAAATGTTTTAGTCATTTAAAAACACTTACAAACGAGCCCTAATTTAGAGTAGTTATGTGTACATCTAGTTTACATCATAAGTTAGCCTTTGAAAGAAAATAAATCTAGGTTACCTTGTCCTTATAGACTTAAGGCTAGTTTGAAACTATTTTTAAAATGACCGAAAACGTTTTTGTAAAAATGTTTTTTGAAACCCAAAAACATTTTTTTTCTTCTAAAAGCGGTTTTAGTTATTTTAAAAGCTTTCAAACGAGCCATTAGATTTTCTTCTTTACCACCTTACCACCTTTGTTTGTTGAGAATCATAGCAATCACCTTTGTTTGTTAAGTTCTAATTCAGTATAAGCTTGACTAAATTGATTCCGAGTGGAAGTTCCAACCAACGATGGTAGATTAGATTGTGACGTTTGTCTGGACACCAAGTCTGGGAATACTTGTAAATTCAATATCTTGGGAACTAAATCTGTTTAGGTAGCAGTGGCAGTCAAACATGTATCTGCAGAATTCCTCAGGAGATTAAGATTATACTGGACTCAGAAGTCAACGTACTTCTGTAAACTAAAGTAAAAATGTGTGGAAACACTAGCTTACTCGTTTTGAGTCAATTCTGCATGATTAAATCTACTGTAATGTATATATTTTATTCTTTTTGAGCGGGAAATTGGGTAACAAATTGAGATAAGAACGCAATTTTAGCCTGATAACTTTTTTTCGTTGATGAAAGGGACCCCAGCAACACTGAAAGTACTTATAAATATGCTATTTTAGGGTCGTCCGTTTGGAAATGTTTATCTACGATGTGCTTCTCCTTACAAACGCTTTGTAATAAGTACGTCAAATTTCTAATACAAATTCAAGTGATTTTGAGAGTTATACCGAAACGCTTTTCTTCAAACAACACTATTATAGTGAGAATATGCTGTATCATTGAATGAGTCAGTTGCGATTAAACGACCAAGTTTGTAATTCATGAAAGTTGAATTTAAAATCGTTTCCTTATTACATGATCATAACCCTTCGGTCATATTTTAAAGGGATACTTTGGATGCGGTCCTTAACTACCAATGTTCCTTGACTGAAGCCTTTGTGATTTTTAGTTTTTAATTGAAGTCCCTGATATTAATGTAATAATGTATTTTTATACAGGTTATATATTTTTAAATTAAAATGAAATTTGTAGTTATTTATATTAATGAGATTTTAAATAAAACTCATAATTTATGGGATTAAAAATATTAAAGATAAATTATACTCTCCTATATATTGTGTATATATATCTATATATGGGTACTGTGACATCCCACATCGCTCAGGGAAGTGATCCTTATATATATATTTTCATCCCTACCTAGCACGAGGCATTTTGGGAGTTCACTGGTTTCGGGTTCCATGGGAACTTCGAAGTTAAGCTAGTAGCGTGTGAGAGCACTCCCAGGACCCATCAGGAAGTTCTCGTGTGAGTTCCTAGAAACAAAACCGTGAGGGTGTGCTGGGGGCCCAAAACGGACAATATCATGCTACGGTGGTGGAGCGGGCCTAGGAAGTGGTCCCCCTCGGGGCGGGATTTGACAATTTGGTATCAGAGCCTAACCCAGGTCGTGTTGTGCCGACGAGGACGTCGGGCCCTTAAGGAGGATGGATTGTGACATCCCACATTGCCCAGGAGAGTGATCTTTATATGTATATTCTCATCCCTACCTAACACGAGGCCTTTTGGGAGCTCACTAACTTCGGGTTCCATGAGAACTCTGAAGTTAAGCGAGTAGCGCGCGAGAGCACTCCCAGGATGGGTGACCCATCGGGAAGTTCTCGTGTGAGTTCCCAGAAACAAAGCGGACAATATCATGCTACGGTGGTGGAGCGGGCTCGAGAAGTGGTCCCCTCGGGGTCGGGATGTGACAGGTACGTTCATCAAAACTAACCAAAAAAATTATTGTAACAAAACATGGGTACATTTTTCAAAAACCAAAAAAAAAAAAAAAAAAAGGAAAAAGATAATAGGCTTAATAACATTATTAAATTTCTTCTATTAAACTTGACATAGATACATTCTCAAATCAACGAAATAGAATGTACCCATATAAGTTTAAAAAATGGATTAGAGAAAATATTGAATGAATTTTATTTAAAAAATGGGTACATTTTATATTAAAAAATGGTACTTTTTTTATATAACAAATTGGTATATTTAATAATGGGTACATATAAGATTAAAAAATTAAATTTTTTTAATAAAAATTTAATGGGTACAAATTCTATTTTTTATTTTTTATATTTTGGAAATGTTTGAATTAAAAATTAATTAGGATTTTAATAAGGGTGTGAGTATTAAAACTCTAAATCAATTACTAATTTTTATTATAAAAATTATGTAACTCGCATGTAATTGATTAATATATTAATGCTAGAAACTTTGATCAAAATCTAAAAATTGATAAGATCTTAATCAATGAACATTAAAACTAAGAACCTGATGCTAATTTTCTATTTTTTAAATCTCGATATGCAATATGAAGGCTGATGCACCCTCGTCTGCACGGATGTTGATCCACGTGAACAGTACACGATAACAAAGATGATGACCCAACACGGCCTAAAAGAACAGGCTCTGAACAACAAAACAAGCAGTAAAAGTCCCAATTGTTTCGACAAAAAAAAAAAGTTCTTGTTGTTCTACCCATCTCTAACTCTGACCCTTAAAAATTCCAAATCCATGTGCGCTCACCACCTACCGGAAACTCGATATGCACCCTCGTGGACGGTGACACTGGCCAACCAATCAGACGGCGCCACTGGTTTGATGAAACATGAGAATCTTTGGGTGTTACGTGGCAAGGTGCAATTGACTAGGATTTGTCCACTATATTTATTTAGGAATCCCGATTCTCACCAGATCTTCTTTATGAGCATTATGGGGATTTGTAAATTGTGTCCATTCATTGTATATTATGGGTCAGAAATCATTTTAAATATTTTTATTTAAAATTAAACACAAATAGTATCTCAAAAAATGATTGCACGATATACGATGAACAAACATAATTCACAGATTCCCAGGATCCTCACCAAAAAATCCACTGTTGGTTTGTTTAGGGTAGGGATATGCTAATCCAATGTATCTGATCAGTGGGCAAACGGGTGTGGCTCAGCGATTGGGTAGAATTGTTCAATACAACAAAATCGTAGTAGAAAACGCCATTAAAACGGTAGTAGAGAGCACGATGCCGCATAATATCACCACTTGTAATAAAAATAGAAACAAAAAGTAAAAACTAAGATGAAAATTGTACTTAAAAAAAGCAGGTGGCTAGGATAATATCGACAAGTCAGATTTTAAAGTAATTATCAGTTTCGTTTTCTCCATCACGTGTGTCGACTGCAGTCTTTGGGGATTTGGATTGATTAAGAAGGAGAGGAATTTTGTAACGGAGCCCCATCTGGCAGCCCTACCTATCTTAATCTTCTCAATTAATTAATTAATATTGTAATTGAGCCATATGGCTAATTGTTACAATTGGTCAGGTTTGAGGTTCAATTTTTATGAAAAACGAATTTGAATCACGTTATGAGATTAAGTCTACTCTTTTTTTTTTAGTATAAAAAATATCATTTATTCAAAAAATAAAAAATTGTTATGGGTGAAGTGTCATATTTACTTTATTTAAATTTATAGTTTAATGTTGCTCTAATATCACCGTCCTTGCTCTCCTCCAAAACCGAAAACGTAATTTAGGCTCTTTTTTTTTTTATATTAAAATCTTTGTCATTATCCAGTTAACAAGATGATAAAATCGTGGATTCCGTCCCATTATGAAGATGATGTAAACTAAATAAAGTGATGAAATGCTCATTCAATTCGAATGGAAGATATAATGAATCGGTAAGAGATAAAATTGACGTAGTACGAAACTAAATGATTTTAAATGTAAATCATTGAAGAACCTAAAGTCTGGAATTTACAAGTTTTTTAAAGAAATCCCACAAGTTTTATTTGATTAATTGATGAAAGATGATTACAATGAAGCAATTAATGACTTAAATAAACGGATTACAACTCCCTTAGAATAACTCAAAGCGAACGACAAACGAAAAGTCTAATTTTTATTATATAAATTAACACGTAGTTTGGAAGCCTAAACGGTCTCAGATTGCTAAAATTTATCTTATGTCACAACAAATTAGTGAGTTTGAACAGTGTCCTCGTTCTCTTTTTGAAGATGTATTATGGGCCCAAATCAGAACTCAGACATCAAATTTGCAAATTCCCGTTACGTCTTTTTGTCTTCCAACAGTCTATTTCCTCTTCAATCCACTCAGTCATTTATTCTACAACAAAGATGAGAATGAATTATCACGAACTAAACAATTTTCTTTCCTGTCTCTGAGAACGAGTGAAAAGCTGTTTAATGTCTTCAACAACAAAAATATGGCATGGCATACCCACAAAATTGTAATGCGCGATGAACAATGTAATAAACTAGAAAAATTTATCAATTTGGGAGCAGTTTGAGCACTTGATGTAAAGGTGATTCAAATTTAAGAAAAAAAATATCAATAGACGCTAGTCACTAATAAATATAAATAATATGAAATGAAAACTAAATTAGCTAAATACATCAATCATGTGAAACTCATACACTATTTTCTTTTAATTTTTATTTATTTTGTTACTTCAAGAAAATTGACTGTCAAATTATATATATATCACATGTGACATGTGTACGAGGCACAACTCTCTGTAGCCATGCAATCACAGTCTCAGTTTCGTCAAGCAAACTAAATCCACCACATTTCCTTTTCAGTCTTAAATAACAGAATTAGTGTTATTATCGTTAAATAATTAATACATTTGGGCCCAATACATCTATCGGTGTCTTTAATAAACCTGGTATTTGCTGTGAATTTCATAAGTAATTGGCTTGTAAACTTTTAAGGTTTGCTTTGTATTAATCATTAACTTGACGTAAGTGGTACCAAAAATTTCCAAGATTCGGATTGTAATTAAAGATTAAAACCTATCATCCATCTAGTTCACAATCATTTAATTTATTTTCTGAAAAGCACAATCATATATTTATTAGAGGATTGTGTAAGATTGTTTACTCACAAACGCTTTGAAAATTTTAATCGGATCTATATCTTTCTGCTTGTATTTTGATATTCTTAATTACTTTGAATGGTGTAACTACAAAACGTGCGTCAAAATTAATCAAAGTGTGTTTGTCCAAAACATTCAAAAATGGGGAAAGGTGTTATAATCGAACTTCACCTTTTTATTTTTCTAGATATGTCATAACTCTGAGGTGACGGTCACACGGTCATGTGGTGTTATTACTTTATGAGTTTATAATATGAGTGCATGACCAACATGTATGATGTTTCATGGACTTAAGATGAAAAAATAAAAATAGTTATGAGTTATAATTTAAATAAAGTGATAACACCATGTAGCCTCAATGCATCACACCAAAAAATATCTAAGATAAATTCTACAACACAATGGCTCTCACCTTGTACAGATTGTTTGATAAAAAAATAGTTAGATTCATTTAAAGATCAGTTTTTCCTATCAATATTATGACTCGATGCATATTAATTTTGTGAAAATATGCTTGTCTAACAGTTATTAGTATGAAATTGTAATTGCCTTGCATTAATTTTGTTGCAAATGAATGGTTGATGCGTGACTCTCTCTCTTTCCTTTCATGCCTAACGGTAATGAATTAATACAACTCTCAATGTTTATGAATTATGAGAGTGCATGAGCTTCCTTTAAAAGCAACAATGTATCTCCATTGTTAGCTCGTGGCTCCTCAGGCCAGCTTTGTTATACAAAAAGCTGGTCGGAAAAAAACCGCCTCAAAATTTCCAATTTTTTTTTTATATTTGCTGTCACTGCAAGATCTAGTTCATAAATATAGTTGAAGAAGTATTGTGGAGATGGAAAAAACTAAAGGTGGTGTCGAAGGGTCTGAATTTGGGGAAGCCAAGGTGAAGCAACATAAGATGGAACACTATTTGAAGTACTTTGGAGGAATCAAAGTGGACAAATTGATAGGAGGATCCAACTTCAAAGGCGAGATCAATGCGCAGTCACGGTTATGCAGACTCAAATTGTTTGTTTTTACAGCCACAACCATGCTGATTCTCATCTGCGTCTGCGCGGTGCAGCTGAGCATGCTCAGCGATGTAACCCGGGTTTTGATGTTTCGCTCGAATTCTCAAACCATCACTCCGCCACAAATTACTGGAACTGAAAGTGAGTGTCCACAACTTTCTCATAAGGTTAATAATACTTGTTATTTATGCCAACAGTTAGTTTGATATACATTGTTGGCTTGCTTTTTGATAACTTAAGCTTTTTGGGCAAGTAGTTGTCTAACATGGTATCTTATAATTGTCAACATTTGGTTTGAAGACTTGTGTTCATTTTTGCAGGGGATTTTGAGAATAATGGATATCTGATGGTCTCATCCAATGGAGGATTGAATCAAATGCGGGTTGGTGTGAGTACTTTTCTACTTATATTTTATTCTTAATTTGCATTAATGTTCTTGAAAATTCAAGTGATGCTTTTAAAAATCTTACACTGCAGATTTGTGACATGGTGGCTATTGCAAGTTTTTTGAATGTCACGCTTATAGTTCCTGAGTTGGACAATACCTCCTTTTGGAATGATCGCAGGTTAGTCAAATTACAACTCTCTCTCCCTATGTCTTTCACTTAAACTTGAGTAGGGTGCCTTGTCAAACCACTATTACAAAAGCATAAGATCTTGCCCTTTGGTTATCTTCCAACTCAACTCTGGTCCCACTCGGTATAAAAGATGCTTGAGTTAGAACAAATTTTAGAGTTTGCCTGTTAGACCACATGGTTGTGCGATCACACGCAATTAAAGAGGGTCGTCTATATTTTCTTTTCTCCCGTCCCTACCCATGATACCATCCGATTCTCTCAATAACCGTATATGGTCGGTCAGACAAATGTTTTTCTCCCTAGTGACTAGTGAGGCAACCCCAGCCAAGTACCTTCATTAACAATAAATTAAATCTGACAAAGTTGAATACTTAATTTTGCAGTCGATTTGAAGATATATTTGATGTGGATTACTTCATTGCATCTCTGAGAGATGAAGTCAGGATACTAAAAGCTCTGCCTGATAAGCAGAAAAGAAGAGCAGAGATAGCTAGCCTCTATTCCATGGCTCCTGTTAGCTGGGCCAACATGAAATATTACTACGAACTGGTAGTCAAGATTAATTCCTTAATCATCGCCCTTGTGTTATACTATTAATGTTAATTACCACTAATCTTTTGTTAATACTTGATTCGTACGCAGATTCTTCCCCGCATAAAGAAGTATGAAGTGCTGCATTTCACTCAGACCAATGCCAGGCTTGCGAATAATGGGATCCCGAACGAGGTTCAGAAACTGCGGTGCAAAGCGAATTACAGAGCTCTAAGATTCACTCCTCCTATTGAGGAACTGGGAAAGAAGATTGTTAGGATTCTGAGGGAAAAGGGTCCATTCCTAGTTCTTCATCTGAGATATGAAATGGACATGTTGGCATCTTCTGGTTGTACGGAAGGTTGCAATGCCAAAGAAATTGAAGAATTAACAAATATGAGGTTAGAGTGAGAAGAAAATCTTTGGTAGGGCAGTATGATCACGTCATTCTTATGACATATCTCAAAAGTATAGAGACAGCGTGGGATCTCGTGAAAACCCAAATGCAGGGACCGGTTCGTTTGTAAAAACTTCATAACGTGATCAGACCACCCTAAAGATTTTAAGATTTTCTCAATCTTAATTTCAGTTCCTTTTTAGTTGTTTCTTTTTATAAATTCAAATACGATTAACTTGTAGATGTTAATATATTAAACAGGTTTGCTTACCCACGGTGGAAGCAGAAAATAATAGACTCTGTTAGGAAAAGAAGAGTTGGGGCGTGCCCTTTAACTCCTGAGGAAACTGCACTTGCATTGAGGGCTTTGGATATTGATCCTGGCATCCAAGTTTATATCGCTGCCGGCGATATATACGGCGGAGAAAGAAGAATGGCGCCTCTGAGACTAGCTTTTCCCCATACGGTTAGTTGCTTGAACCTCAAGAAACAACTCGATTACAAGTATTATACCCATGTTCGACGCTCATTATCGTCTGGAAACAGGTTAAAAAGGAGACGTTGCTGGAATCCTCCGACCTCGAGCCCTTCAGGAACCATTCAAACCGAATGGCAGCGTTGGATTATATGGTGTCACTGGAAAGCGACATCTTTATTCCTACTTATAAAGGAAACATGGCAATAACTGTTGCAGGCCATAGAAGGTATGTAACACACGTTACCAATATATTACCATGTTAATTTCTTTCTCAATGACATTTGATACATAATTATACATACATATGTGTGAGTGTGCGCGAGAGTGCAGGTACTTGGGATTCAGGACGACAATTCGGCTACACAGAAAGCTTCTAGTGGAATTGATACGCCAGTACAGGAATGGAAGTCTGAGCTGGGATGAATTTTCACAGGCAGTGAAAACAGGGCACGCTGATCGCATGGGAAGCTCAGCTCCAAGATTGGAGATGCCTGGCAAGCCTAAGGATGAAGAATATTTCTATAGCAATCCCCAGGAATGTTTGCCACAAATTGTTTAAAAACCAAAAGACCTGTGATATAGAGGAGATAGACTTTGGTGAACATGTCTGATTAGTGTAGCTTTCACACCTTGAGACCAGTGTCGGACCAAAATATAAGAAGTATCATATTATTACAAAAGGTACCCACAAGTTGCTCAACGAACGACATAGACACCCCTACCCAAAAATTGGGTAGTGTGGTTGGTATGTACCCTTAGATTCCACTTCCCTAGCCAGCATCACTAATGTAAAATAACTATTCTTTTATTTATATTTTCTTTGAAATTTGAAGTAAACATTACAAGGAGAAGATTAGGGTTTTGTGATGTTCCACCATGCAGTCCATCGAGACTGAATGATCCTTGCCACTGATGCAAGCATGCCACTGTTTGCCCTAAACAAATAAGAATAATGCTAGAAGACCAAAATTTTAAACTTAATTTGTAAATCAAATGATGTGTCACCAATAAGAAACAAGCACGTTAATCGACAATTAATAATTCAATTATCTACAACCACATCATTCGGTTTGTAAATTAGGTTTAAAAAATTTGATCTCTCTAGCATTACCTAACAAATAATGCTTGAGACACGAACTAACAACTTTATTACCACGAAATGGCACCTGAATGGCTCCAATTGATACGTTCGAAACAATTATGTACGATAAAACTAAAATATGGGTGACGGCATCTCCTAACACGGGTTCCTTCCTCAAAGAAATCTATAACTGAGGGAAATTGTTCTCAACATGTGTTCAATGAAATATGTAAAGGAAAAAACCAAAGCACTGCATGTACACTAACCAGAAGATGGACACTAAGACATCCCAAAGCAGAATAAAGGAGTAAAAATATGGGTGACGGCGGAGAAGGAGACTCCACACTAGTTTTATGTCTTGAGGCGCTTATGAGCTTGATCGGAGTCCTCTCCACTGCCAGCGTCCCTAAAATGCGCCATCGTCTGATTGCTTGAATGGGGATTCTCATTATCCTGGAAAGCAACAAAAATTTTGAGACTTTATCTTTCCTGTCTGTGAGAACGAGTGAAAAACCTTAGCACAGTCCCTTGTAGCGTAACTATACAGGTTGACAAATCCATAGGAATGGATGAAAAGAGTGTTGTAACTTGAAATAAACAGACCCGCATGGTTTAGAAAGATGGTTAACGGAGAGAGTGGTCAGGCAGTGGAAAGAAAAGCAAATAAATGGAACCACTTATACCATCCCAGGTCATCAATACCCAACATATACTTTAGAAGCAGGTGTTCCAGAGGACAGCCCTCGGTTCGCACAATTCCCAATATCAATCTGCACTGAGATACTAGCCTGCGACAGATCAACACCTGCAGTCTGCAGCACCTGGCTCGGAGAGTATAATATCCTGTTCATAAATTGGGCAGTTAGAACTCAGAAGCAAAGAAACTGATCAAGAAAATGCATGACGTACACTGTATCACTATGATAATATACAAACAACTTAAGCAAATGTGATCAATAATAAGGTCCGGAGTCACAATAGTTAATGGACATATTAAAAAAAAAGGTACATTTTTCATATAATAAATTGGTATATTTAAGAATGGATAGATATAAGATTAAAAAATAGAATTATTTTTTATAAAAATTTAATGGGTACAAATTCTATTTTTTATTTTGGAAATGTTTAAATTAAAAATTAATTAGGATTTTAATAAGGGTGTGAGTATTAAAACTCTAAATCAATTACTATAACTTACATGTAATTCATTAACATATTAATGCTAGAAACTTTGATCAAAATTTAAAAATTAATAAGATCTTAATTAATGAACAGTAAAACTAGGAACCTGATACTAATTTTCTCTTTTTTAAATCTCAATATGCAACATGAAGGTTGATGCACCCTGGTCTGCATGGAGGTTGATCCACGTGAACAGTTGTTTGGACTTGATTTTACATCATCGGCCCAAGCGATCGAGGCCGTTGAGTAAGGATGATTCTTAATCGTCGGATAAGAAAGTTACAATAATTTTGTTGTTGTTAGATGATAATATTATGATTTTTAATCATGATAATTATCTTTTAATAATGAATTATCTTGACACTTTTCTTGTACGAGATAAATGTGACTCAAACTATATCGAAGCAAGCAAAATAGTTCAATTTAGTTTGGGATTCTTAGCATTCAACGCGGGATTGAGCATCATGCATTATAAAAAGAGGCTTAGCATGTGGTGGCATCAGTTGGTAACCAAGGTGGAGTCCAACTTGAATGATTAATTACAGGAAGTAAGCCATTATGATGCATGCATGGGATAATCATTAGCAAACTCAAGGCTGCCAAATGAAGTGAATATTCTATGGATAAAGCTTGATATTCCAAGGTTTGAATGACAATGCTTATCTTTAGCAAAGAAGGAATTGGCATACCAAGCTTTGTTACGTGGTTTTGGCTAAAATGCGTGGTTAGCACCAAAGACGTTGAGTGCCACGACTTTCATTGGATAATCATTGTCTCCGCGTAAATTATTATTTGTGGAGATTGATGGTCACAGATAGATTTTGCGCTAAGTTAGTTCTATAAATACCAAGCGGCAGACAATTAAAAAAGGACCTCCAATTCAACACCCAACTGCCCTGTGCAAAACCTCTCAAACATCTTGAGATTTTTTATTTTCTTTTTTCCGCCGACACATCTTTAGTTTGGATAAACAGCATTGTGAAGGCAACCGGCGAACATCTTCAGTTTGGATAAACAGCACTGTTGCCGTAGAATTAGCCGTTCCCGAAGCACCTTCAGTTTGGATAAACAGCACTGCGTCGAGGCCGACTGGTTATCTATCCAAGTCTCGGTCGAGAAGGATTTTCAAATCCTTATTGGCAGAGGTCATCTCATTAGCCTTCTCGGCGAAGTGAGGTGTTACCAGGTTACTACATTCGGCACCTTGAGAGCCGAATTTGATATTGAACTTCGTGGAACTAGCAGCCTTGTCTTCAGGCTCGAGAATCCAAAGGCCGAGATTTGTTCCTTCCTCGGCCGCAGTCGCAAGATAGAGAAGTCACTGACGTGCTCAACGCAACATCAACAAATTTTACTCCTCGGCCGAGCTCGACCGACGAGTTGGCACGCCCCGCATTCAACCGAAATACGTAGTTAGCTTATTAGTTACTCGGCCTGCGCGCCACGTAGGCTTTGTAATTTTTAGGGTCAACATTTTGGCACGCCCAGTGGGACACAGTGCTAAAACTACGAAGTTCATATGATATATCAAGATTCCAATCTGGCTCCACGTAGCCGATTGTACGAGCTCCTAGAGGAATTGAAAAAAGACAATGAGGAGCGAAAAATATCTTTGGAAGTGGAAAAAATTCTTCGTGGCCATACAGAGATGCAAAAGTCATTCGCTTACATGTTGAGAATAAAAGCTCCCCTTATCCTGCAAGAACAATGGGTAAATGAGGATAGGGCTCGATTTAATACCTGGCTAGATGGAAAATATTTTCCTTACGTTTTCGACTACAAATCGATTCCATTTGAGGAATGGTTGGTTGAAAAGACCGGGGGGCAATTTTCCGCTCCGGCCGTAATCAGACATCGACCTAAGAAAATTGTTACTTTGGCCGAAGAACAAAGGCCACCTATTTTTTCGGTCGAGACTGAAAGTGTGGTAGGCCTAGAAGAAAATGTTCAAGTTTCTGAGCCAGAAATTGACTCAAAAAATGATTCGTCAGAGGAGTGTTCCAATGACGAACAAGACCGATACACGACTTCGGAACATAAAACCACATCAATTGATATGGTAATTGATGACATGGTTTTAGACGCCGAAACTACGCCAATCGATATGATTATTGTTGATAAAGCCGACACGGAGAAATCCCGTTCGGCTAAGTTGTTCGAGTTAAAAGTCAAAATTGACAAAATTATTATGCCTGGGGAGCATAATAATTGTCCAACACATTCGGCGGCCGATGGTAAAAAATATTTCACCAAGACAAAAATATTTGGAGAAAATTTTGTATTCGGCCTAGAGCGAAATCAGTTTGAGAATTTTGATATTAAAAGATCTCGGCTTGAAATAAAGCATCGTTGGCCTCCTCCTGATTATGGTTTGGCCACTTTTATTTCCATTTGCTAAATTATTTTCTTAACCATTCGGCCTCTCGGCCGATCTTAAGAAAATAAGGGGGCAATAGCCATTAAGCCCTTTTCTTTAGGTTTTTCTTAGGTGAAGTCCTCCAGAGGGTAAAATGAGGGCTCAGAAGTGCATGGCAGCTGTATTACATGGCAGAAGATTCTAGAAAAAATGAGTAGGGATGCCATGACAAAATATTACAATGCCGAGTAAAAGAAATTTGGCCAAGTACAATTCTTCGACCGAATAAAAGAAAGTTTGGCCGAACTATCAACCCCAAATTATTTTTCCTACCCCCTAATTCTTCTCGACCTTGGTTCATGATTGCTTATCACTTCTCTTCAACCATGAGTTGTTCTTTGGTCAAAAGAAGCCAGGATCATGTTCTCTCGGCAAGTTACTCAGAATCAACACAGCAACAGGTTTCTCTCGGCCTGATAAGTAGGTGGTCGAGGTACTCCTGATTGGCTGGAAAAACTTAATTTCCTTAACCATTCGGCTTATGAGCCGAAGTTCAAGGAAACTGGGGGGCAATGTTTGGACTTGATTTTACACCATCGGCCCAAGCGATCGAGGCCGTTGAGTAAGGATGATTCTTAATCGTCGGATAAGAAAGTTACAATAATTTTGTTGTTGTTAGAGGATAATATTATGATTTTTAATCATGATAATTATCTTTTAATAATGAATTATCTTGACACTTTTCTTGTACGAGATAAATGTGACTCAAACTATATCGAAGCAAGCAAAATAGTTCAATTTAGTTTGGGATTCTTAGCATTCAACGCGGGATTGAGCATCATGCATTATAAAAAGAGGCTTAGCATGTGGTGGCATCAGTTGGTAACCAAGGTGGAGTCCAACTTGAATGATTAATTACGGGAAGTAAGCCATTGTGATGCATGCATGGGATAATCATTAGCAAACTCAAGGCTGCCAAATGAAGTGAATATTCTATGGATAAAGCTTGATATTCCAAGGTTTGAATGACAATGCTTATCTTTAGCAAAGAAGGAATTGGCATACCAAGCTTTGTTACGTGGTTTTGGCTAAAATGCGTGGTTAGCACCAAAGACGTTGAGTGCCACGACTTTCATTGGATAATCATCGTCTCCGCGTAAATTATTATTTGTGGAGATTGATGGTCACAGATA